CTGAAGATAAACTTGAAGATTTTGAACTTTGTTAATACAATGAAAATTCAATGTTTCTCTTAATGATTTTCTTAAGAAGTTATTAAACAATTTCATCAACTATGTTACGATTCAGTACTTGATTAAACAGATCTTCTGTTGTTTTAATTGCTTAGCAACTGAAACACAAATGTTTTCTATATATTTCTCTGAAAAATGTCATTAAAAAAAGTGTCATAAAAGAAACAAACAAAATCCTATGGAAACAATAGAATTTTCACAGCCATGGTGATTGATGTTTAATAGCTATTTCGTCGACGGATAGCATTATGTGAAATTTGCATCTTACCAAGAATCTAAATTACAACTAAATTTTATTATGATTTCGACTAAATAACTTATTGCAAAAATTTAGAACTTTATTGCAAATTGATGTGTTTGTTGTTTTTGCTGAGACTTTGGAGCCGGTCCTGTTTAAGAATGCAATTGTTTTGGATTTCATGTAAACGTGGCTTTTTTTTCCATTTGACTTAGGTTTTTTTTAGGTATGTTCTATGGGTTCGAGTAAATTGATATTTATTGTAAACAATGAACGGTTATTAATCTCGAAAGTTTAGCTCAGATAAAAGAGAAACAATACACTTTCGGGCGTTGACAGTGACAGATTCGTGTTTTCGGATGTAAGACAATCGTGGAAAGCTATTTCGGACCCTCGGATTCCTCTCTTCCCCATCATCATCTTTTCTTTTTTTGTTTTCTTCTTTTCAACTAGTCGTGGAGAATGGTGTACGCAGTACGCTTACATACTTAACAATTAAAGAAGGACGAGGATGAAGAGGATAACGCCGTCACGGTTCGATCCTATCCCATCCATCCTTCCCGGATGGCTGGTCTCCTCTCTTCGAAGGCGGCTGCGGATGTGCGTATGTTTGCGTCTGTTGCTGTGGCGACGGCAACGTTCGTCCCAGATAAATCAAAGAGGACGCGCCACAACGCGGAAGGCCATGGATATATACTTAACACCCAATAACAACCCTCTCGCCTCGCATTCCGACCTCATATTATTACTGTTATTTATTCGGTCCGTCCGTAATGCTGTTGCCTCTCTCTCTCACTCACTCACTCTCTCACTGTTATGCGGAGACAGTGGCGTGTGCGGTCTATTTCTATTTTTACCACCCCTGAAGATAAAGCCGTTTCATGCGATTCTCACCTGTATCCTATCGGGTCCTATTCCACTAAAATTATTTCCATGTCCGTTTTAATTAACGCTCCCATTACGCCATCTGTCGACGACCATTTAGGAACAAACGAAAAACAAAACGAAAAACATCAATCACCATGGCCGTGACCACCTACAAAATTTCATTGTTTCCACACGATTTTGTTCGTTTTATCACACAGAAAGGTATATATTATCTTAACATGATTTGTTGCACAATATATCTTTGATAAGAAATTAACTTTGTCTCATTTTAGTGATTTTCACGAAAACTATAATACATAGAATGAATCCAAAAGATGCATATGAAAGCTGAATGTTTGGAGAATCAGACAAGTATTGATATATTACTGTGGTTATAGCCATTTGGCTGTAATGCGCGTTCCTTTTATGAAAGGGGAGGCGCCAAATGATTACATACTTTTGAGGGAGGCGTAGTAACTTCAAGTTTGGAAACCACTGATCTAAGTAATGAGTATGTTAGTTTTTTTTCATAACTTATTCATATCAGCAAAAATATTGAATTGAATGTAGAAGCGTTGCGTAACTTAAGTTAAGTCACTGTCGATTTTCGAAGCGGAAACGACTTTGGACCGGTGCATGCGACGCGCTATATTTAAGCTTTTGTTTCCATTGTATAAAAAGAAAAACGGGCCTAGGTGAAAGTTTAAGGTCGAGTCGAAGCGCGACGATTAATTTAATAATAATAATAAGAAAACAGCAAGGAATTACGTAACAGCAGCAGCAGCAACAACAAAACGTTTATTTACATTATCTGTTAAGACATCGATCCCAGAAATCTGTTGAACGAATCGTTTCAAAAACAAAACTTTCTAAATATTCATCGCTCGTGCCGTGAATATATCATTTGTTTTTTTTACCGTACAAAATCTAAATGTCCGTGAATGTAATTTTCAACTGTTTCAAAAAACAACGAAAACGTTACATTCGATTTTGCTTGCAATAAGTTTCGAATAATGATAAGTTAGTTAGAGTGAACTTACTTACTGGATGAAAACAAAACTTGTTGTATTTAATCGATGTGTCGTCGTCGCAACGCTACAAACTAGACTGAGACTCTTCACTTTGCTGAGCGTGCATTCATTACTTGGCAATTAATGACCTGTAATGATGCCAGATCGTTATTATCAACAAACGAAATCGCGTTCGAATCAAGCGAACAAAATAAAATAAACAATCGTTTATGCTGCAACATTTCAAGCGACACATATGATTATGATTGAACATAAAAATTACTGTAAACTTATTTTATTTTTTTTTCATTTGACTTGAGGCAACTTGATTATATTTTTTTTTGCGATTCATCTGCCCGCGTATCATTCTTATATAAGAATGTTTTGATTCACTATCGACTTAAGTCACATTAATAATTTTATCGATTAAAAGTTCAAATGCATAATTGCGTATCTCGTCTATAAGAAGACAAAATCATTGATAAATTAACATTCCTTGTGATAATTATTCGAAATCATTTCTATTCTAAAGTTAATAGAAAAAAAAACAGATGAAAATATTAAGCGCTAAATAGAATTTCTCTTGAACAAATACACTTATCACTTCGACAATTTGAATTGATTGTATAAACTAAATTAACATGGATGAGACTTTGTAACTAGTTACTAAAAACGGAAGATTTTTTTTAAAATAATTTCCACTCAAGTCGAATGTTTTGACTGATTTAAAAACAGAAATTAGTGAATATTCTTTAGAAAATTCATTCCATTTTCGGCAAATAACTGACTCGAGCTAAGATTAAGTCTGATAAATGATTGTGTTTTCTTAAAAAAAAAAAGAAGAAAAGTGCACGTTTATTTTTGATCAAAGTGAGGTTTTTGTTTTGCTTAGTAGCTTTTCGCATAAACCAAGTTTAAATATAGAAAACGTAAACTTTGTTTATTTCCGTTCATCAGAAATAGCAACACTTGAATAGTTGAATTATTTTAATGCAAGTTTATAATTTTAGAATTAACGAATCGCAAGTAATTAATAATTTTAATGTAATTAAATGAAAAGTAAGCTATGAAGATTGAAACAAAAATTGTTATCGAGTTGTTTTGTTTAAATGAATTTGTAGTCGGTTTTTTCCAGTTCTAATTTGACTTGAGTCAAAGAATGCGAAGTAAGTGCGTTTTTTCAGTGAGACCTTGACGAGTTGCATATTAAAACGGACGGTCGAACAAATTGGAAAAAAATAAGGTCATTAAATAGCGGATTGTAAACAAAGTTACGTAAATTATAGTGTGCAGACTTCACTTTCAAAGTGCATACAACAGTAAGTAAATGATCCTGAAATCCACTCCATCTCGTAACACAACACCCACCCAGTGCAATAAATCAAAGATAAAACGAATCACAGGCGGCGATTGCGAGAGTTTCAAAGTAAATGATTCTCTTACACTTTTTCCTATGCGAAATCCTTCACAAACGTTCACTTCTGTTATTTCTACTAGTTTCAACTAGACTAACTAATTTTCGTGATAAGCGATAAGAATGAAAACAAACTGATTTCCGTTTTCTTGTAAATTTCGACGAGTTAGAGCCGCCGGGCTAACCTCTCCTCTCTTCGCACCGGAGTGTCAATCATGACTGGTTCGTTTCCTTTGCGCTGTTCTCACCATTCCATCCATCCAGAAGGCAGAGAGAGACCCCTCCGTCTCACCTCTCTTCGGCAGCGCGTCGCGATTGGGTGCTGCGGGTGTCGCGCGACCGCGTCACCTCATCGATTTATCCACTCCTCCACGATTTCACCGTCTGGATGTTCAAGAAAAAAAAACACCTCTTCAAATCTGAAACGGTAAACGCGAATATAATCGTCAACAGTTGAAAATCTATCTTCAATCCGGAAAACCGGAACTCGTACGTCTGGTTGCTTAACATCGCCATAGCAACATATTTATTTATCAAGTGGTGCGTGAGCATAAAACAATCATCACCATAGCAACGTGTAAACTATTCATAATTAACTTATATCGCGTTCTATACATCGAAAAACTTTATTTATTATTTACAAAATTCATTTTTTTTAAAGTTACAAAAGGTTTGCCTTCAATCTGAGATCAGTATTACGTCCTCTGCATTGAATTTAGTAATCATGGAGATCATGAATGCATTTATCCTCACTTCCCAGGAAAGACACTCCCACCCATATAAATAGCACATGGCCCCATTAAGTATTGAGTATTATATAACGGGAAATCCATAGTTTCAATCTACGTGAACCTTATAAAATCTAGTAAATAAAGCGTTTCTCGAAACGATTCTACAGAAAAAGTAACAAAATTCAGTAAGTTGCGTTCGTTTTATAAAATATTGTAGATAATTGATAAGTATTTATCAATTAATGATTATTCAATATTTCAACAGATACTTAGGCATTTTCAAGAAACTTTGTTTTGTTGGTTGTCTAATCTCTTTACTTACATAACTTGTCCTTAGCAACCAGTTTGCGTCTTTAGCAACGGTAACGTTTCTTTTAACAATTGCAATTAAGTCCATGGCAACTGATGCAGTGTCATTAATTATATTTCATAAAGCAAGAGAAACTTTAATCTTATAATGACGTTGATAAACCAATTGTAAATAAAAAATTGCATTCATATTTTTAAATATAATTCAACTATTTAATTAATTTAGTTGAATATTATTAATTGAAAATGTAGAAAACAATTTGAAAAAAAAATAGTGATTTGAGGAGATTAGGTAAACGCAAGTAAATCTTTTGGTAAAATTATATAAATAAATTATATTTAAATTAAGATTATTTCAATAAATACGAGTTATTTTTTTTTTCGTGTATAAAACATAGAAGAAAAAAAGAAGTACATAGAATACTGCTGCCATCGACGGACTTACGACAGTCCGAAAACAATTAATCGTAGTTTTAGTATTTAACATATAATTATTATGTATATAAATGCGACGAAATCATCCTCAGTCAATTGAATATGTCGTCGAGTAAGTTTCGTTTCCTGCAACAACAAAAAACAACAAATTTTATTAATTATTAAACGTAGCACTTTAGTTATAACTAAGTTACTGGGTGGTTTTTCCCCATTAGTGTTGTAGGGTGATTTAATCTAAATCTTGTTTTAAGCGGTATTACGGTTGGATAACGACCATTAGTATAAGTTTTTATAATCCTATGATTGCGTAAGTTAATGGTTTGAAAAGTGCTTTGTTGAAGTCGTCATGGTAACCGTTAAGATATTTCTTAATTATCAGTTCTTTGTTGATGTCGTTATGGTAACCGCTCTTTGGTTTTAGGTCTCTTCGGTAATGGAATTTGGAGGATAAATGGAAACGGATGGACGGAGGACAATAACGAAATCGTACCTTTGCCAGGATGTGATGGTTTTGATTTGGGCTTTCGGAGTGACCGTGGGCGTGATGTTCTCCTTGTCCTTGGTGTTTGCAGCTGGACTCTCGATTCCGAATGGGCTATAAAGTTTGGTGGGAGTCCTACCGAGGACCGACTTCGAGAACGGCGTATCGCAATTCGGCGTCATGGGACCCTCCTCCAAGATCTGCCGCCTCTTCGTCGAGATCTTGAATTTCTGCAACATCATCATAATTAAGATATTTACTTTGCAGATTATTTAACATCTTAACGTACCTGAGAGAATGTCCCGAAGCTCGTCCTCACACTGCTGAACGTCCTCGAGAGTTTATCGGCGCCGGTCCTCAAAGCCCTTCTCGTATCGTTCAAAGATAACACCGAAAGCACACTCCTGTCTCCACGTTCGTCGCTACAAGAACCTGTCGGATGGACACAAAAAACAAACAAACGGTAAGTCGGATGCAACCGTAAAGGTCAATAAAGACCAACGTCTTTGTCAATATGTAAACAGGATGTGCAGATATTTGTTTATTTTGTACAACTCACTCGTTTCCTCTTTTTCGAAGCGATCTTGCAGCTTTTTCCTGCAATTTTGGATACGTCCGTCCGTGGAATTCGACGAACTCGTCAGCGCGGAATTCCTGTGGAACGTGAACGAGTCGCTCTTGTTGTCCGGTCGCATCTTGGGGCCGTTCTTCGTTTAACTGTTTAGAGGGAAATTCACGCTCGCAACACACAACACAACAGTCCACTGAAAAGCTCGTTTATAACGGTCACCGGACTTTTTCGAAAGCTCCCACTTTAACAGCTTTCCCGCACGCCTGCCAACCCCAACCCACACTCATAAACTCATATAAAAGCTTTATGTAATCATCGAAAGCTTTTACACCTTAATCACCATCATTTACGTGCAAACATAATAGTATGACGATTTATCAGTCACCTTTAATTTAATTCAATATAAAACAAATACATTATGGAAATATTTTTTGACGCTTCTGAAAAGTTGAAAAACAAATAAACGAAGTTCATAAAACGAATGATCATAACTTTCTAAGAAGGATCAATACAAAGAATCAACTGATTTCATTTTATTGGGGTTATATAAGTCACACAAAAATTATGAAAATATTTCCACTGAAAACATCAAAAGTAAATAATAAAGTTCATAAACTGTATTGTTGCATAACATATCTTAAAAAATTAACATCAGAAGCAGAAATATACATAAGAATTATCATTTGAATGGTGATTAAGTAAATAAGAATTTTAGTTTAAAAGTTAACTTAATTAATTTTCAAATTATTACTTTTAGGTGATGTGTGTATAGTTGGTGGTAGCTGACTATATTTTATATAACCTACGTCAACATTAAACGTCAGTTTGACAATGACAAGAGACGTGATAAAATGGCAGCCACCGCTCTTAGTTACGATGGTAAATATTGCATTGTTTTCATGGTTTTTCGTTTGATAATTTTCGAATTGCTACAATTTAACCAATTCATACATTACTAGACAAATTTGCCAAGTATTTTCAATTGATTAGTAAGGATTAATTGTTTTGCGTACTTAATGAAGCGATAAACAAGTACGTGTTATTTGCATTTGTTTTTGTTATCAAATTTAAACAATATCGAAAACGTTAAAAATTATGGCAACTATGATTTATTTTTTTTGTTTTGTTAATTGCCTGAAGAGATCTGATTGAAATTTACTTATTGTCAATTGGGATATAAACAAATACGTTAAATATTGTTATGATTTTCATGTTTATATCGATTTTGTTGAAGTTTAATTGTTATTTTGGTTTTTTTAGATTTGCGTAAGCAGGCGCGTCATCTCGAGAACGACGTGGATCTGAAGTTGGTGGCTTTCAGCAAGTTGGGAGCTGGGCTGAAGACGCACCATGGATCTGCAGCGGATAAAGTACCGTTGCTCTCCGATGAGGACACCTTCGAGACGATGGCCCTGGAAATCGAGGATCTCCTTTCGAAGGTTTCAAACATCGATTGCGAAAGATTTTCTTTAGTCTTATTATTTTTTTGTTTGAAATATATTGCAGCTGACGCAGCTCAACGAGAGGATGTCCGAGCAGCCGGTGTCGGGTGCGGCGATGCTGCACACGCTCCATCGTCACCGCGACATCCTGGCCGATTTGAGCAGGGACTTCAGGAAGACAAGTTCGCAGCACGAGCAGAAGAGGGCTCGCGAAGACCTACTTCGCGGTGGATCATCGCACGACTTCAGAGGCGCGGACGGCGTCAACAGAAGGGATCAGTACCTCAAGGAGAGCACGCATCTGCACAAGTAAGTAAACAACAACATCTTTGTCCGTCTTCCAGCGAAATCGGGTTAATGCATAATGTGCACGTGGATTTGAGCAGCTCGGACCGTCTGATCAACGATCAAATCGCCATCGCCATGGAAACCAGGGATAATCTAACATCGCAACGGCAGACGTTCAAGAAGTTGCAGACTCGCTTCAACGACATCATCAACAGATTCCCCGTTATAAATTCGCTGGTGCAGCGGATAAATCTGAGGAAGAGACGCGATTCCATCATCGTCGGTCTCGTCGTCAGCGCCTGCACTATTCTCATCCTCTTCTACACGTTTCATTGATTTTCGAGATGCTCGCAAACCTAAATGGGAGAAGAAAATCATCGACGATAAAAAGAAATCGTCTTAAGAGCATAAATATTCACGTTAGTTAAGTTTAATTTTACATATATTTGTTATATTTATGAGTAAGACGAGATATTTATATAAATGGATAATGCCACGAATAAAACGGTGAAATTATATTATTAATATTACTATCAGTAATCCGTGTTGCACGATTTGACCGATCCGACGCGTTTCCTGATGATCCGATTCAGATTGTTCAAGTTCAGCGAGCTCTGGAAGAAGGCGTACTTGACGCCGCTGCAATCAGCCGTCTCGTACAGATTCACGCAGAAATCGCGCGGATTTATCGACGCAGCTGTGAAGAACGACGGCAACGGAACGCATTCCTCCTCCTCACCTGCAATTCCGCAACAAAACACTCATAAAACTCAGCTTCTAGCTTTGGCAGGTTTTCGCAACACTTCCAAGAATCGAAATACAGGTGTAAATTTTTTGAAAGATTTTCCAGTTTTACCTGCGACGCCGATCGCTTTTCCTTTGTATTCTATCTCCGGCCACATGTATATAGCCCAAGGCGTTACGGACTTTACGAGCAACGACGAGATCAGAACGAACAACAGGAGACTTCTATTCATCTGCAAAATCGGAAAAAGTCCATTTCCAACGATTCTTAAAGTTTTCATCGAATTTCATACATAAAAGTAAGTAGAGAAGTTACTGTGAGTAAAATAAAACGTAATAATTAATTTAATAAAATTACCTTTAAGGATGAAGCGGATGAACGAGAGAGTTTAACCGTATTGGAATGACCTCGACTCGAATGGAAATGAACAACAACACATTAACAAATATTACAGGGAAATACGCCGCTGCGTGGTGGGATCAAAGGTTTTTTCTCTATCTTTATTTTTCTTAATTAAATCGTTTATTAATATCTATCTCTGTCTCGTTTTCTTTTAACACATACAGATTATGCAAGTGATGCGACGGCTGAAGCGCAGACGAAGGAGTTGTTTTTTTTTTGTGTGTGCTAGAATGCAGTTTGGCAGGATTTGACGGAGACGAAGCGAAGTTGAAATTTGGTCAAGTTGTGGTGGTAAAAAGTGTTGGGGAAGAAGGACAACCAATTCCCGGTGCAGCCGTGCCCGTCGAACGCCTTCACGCAAAACTCGTTCGTATTGATTGCTTTCGCGACGAAATTAGTGGGTAAGTCGATGCACTCATCTTCGTAACCTTACAGAACAAACAAAAATTAAAAATATACAATTAATATTACAATTATTTTTGTGAAATTACCGGTCAAAGTTACGCTGTTTCCTTTAAAAAACACCTCCGAGTTAACCAGGATTACCCAGGAATCCGTCGAAGCGGTGATCGCGCTCAAAATCAAAAGCGATATTCCCAAAACCTGAGATGTACACTAATTAATTTTTCGAACAATCACGAATGCGTACTTACCATTTTTTCTATTTATCTTTAACTTGCAAGGTCGTTGGTTTTGTGCTGTCCGCTTTGTCCAGAGAACGGGAATAAAATGATGCGATCCGCGCCATCTCGTCATCTCGTCGTCATCTTCGCTGTCCTCGCTGCTGCGAACGCCTGGTCGGTCATCCTCTTCAGCGAAGTGGGGTTCAAAGGAGACACCGTAGCTCTGACAGGTGAATAACATCTTCGAGAAGACATTATTACAGTCACTAGATTTTCAAGTTTTGTTATTGTTGTTGTTGTTGTCTTTTGTTTTTTTCTGGAAGGTACCGATGACGAATGCATAGATGTTCCCCCGTACTATCCCGAAACGAAAGCCGCCAGCTCTCAGGACTTTTGTTTACGCGTCTTCACCGAAACCAACTGCGGCGGTGAAACAATGGCCCTGTTTCCCGGATCCCCGTACCACGGCGAACTGACCGTCTACACTCGATTCCGGATCAGATCGTTCAGATCCTGCAGGTCCGCATTCTGATATTTCCCCAATCCAAATTATCTGCGATACATTTTAAAGTACATTAACAATGTTTGAAAGCAACTTATCAATTTGATAAATATTTCATAATTTACTTCTTCGTTTTTTCCTCTCCACACTTCATTCACTTGGCTCTTACTTACTTATTTTGCATAATTTCGCCATTTCATAATTTAAATAATATACAAAAAAAAAACCTTAATCCCTATAACTTATGCATTCCTTCGTATTCGCAAGATAATTAAGTTGCCTACACCGGATAAGCCGATTTAACGAATGAGCGTAAAGTTGGGAGTGGTTTCGGTAGCGAAACCAATGGAAGTTTATTTATTTCAGTTTCAAACTGATCGATTCGTTTTTTTTTTCAGCCAACTACAAATGTATTTTCCTTTTAATTTTGCAAACATAAAACTTCCTGTATCCATGGAGATTTATCGTACTTCTTCTTCTTAATAAACTGCAGATGCGGAGAAACGCTTCTGCATCTCAACAACAAAATTTGTTGAGCGACTGTTGCTATGGCGATAAAGAGCGCAACTGCGTTCACTTCGTTTACCGTTTTTTGAGGTTACTGTTACCCGTTCGATAGAAAACACATATATATATAAATATATAGAAACGAAGAAGTGAACGACAATAACAATCTTTTTGCAGAAATCATGGCCCTCTTGCCACCCGATCCTTTGTTCTGCCTTCGCGCCGACATGGACCACATCCACAGCGTGTGCTTCCTGGAGGACGGAAACGTCGCGAACGTGCTCGTCGCAGCGACGGACGCCGGTCTCGTCTACTTCTGGGATCTGGAGGTATCTATAATTCAATTGTTTTCTTCTTAAATTTGAAGATGAAAAATTGCATTGGCTGCACTGGTTTGCGCAACAGCTGATTCCAATTATCTCCGAATTTATTAACGAAAAGAAAACAATAACTCTTAAATAGTATCAATCTTATTTTCATATTGAGCTATATATATATATGATAATCAAGTGTTATTAGTGCCATCTGTGAGTAACAACCTGAATTTGTTACGTTCCATTTGCATGTTTTATAACTGTTTTCAAAAGGAATTTGTTGATGTACATTGAATGCGAAGATAATTAGAAAAATGCATTTAATGAAATAATTACTAATATAGAAGTTTTCTCTAATTTCGTTGCGTTCTTTCTTGTGAATATTTGAAATTTGAAGAAATTGATAGAAATTTGTTTGTTTGGGTTTCAGACGAATCGATTGAAATTTAAAATGTCGATGGGATCGTCGATACAGGCGATCCACGTCTTCGGATCCGATCTTCTCACGCAGCACAAGGACGGAACAATCACTCAGTGGATACCCGACGAAGACGTCCACTATTCCTCAAAGAGCAGTTTCCAATGCGACGGAGGATTCTGCAAGAGCTTCGCGTATTCGAATCAGCTTCTGGTGCCGATGAAAGACGCCGTGGGCATCCTCGACGTTACCACCATGGAACTGATCAGAAGTCTTAAGGTGAACAAGGAGTGTCTGGGACAGCTGATGGCCGTTCACAGGACGACGCTGAACGATGGTGGAGTCTACGTGCTCGGCGGTTTCGAAAGCGGGGACGTTCTGCTCTGGAATTCCGAGGAAGGAAGCGTCGTCGGTGGGATCAAGCTGAGGGAATGCATCACCTCGTTGACGTACGACAAGGCGATGGGTCGGGGCGTGTGCGTCGGCGCTTCCAAGATGCTGCAGATCTTTACTATAGATAAATCGCTGAAGATGTGTTTGAAGACTGAGATCGAGATCACGAACGAAGGCTGCAACGTAGTTAGATTGAGAGAGGACAAGAAGATTTTCGTGACGGGTGGATGGGACGGACGGTTGAGGGTGTTCTCTTGGAAGAGTCTGAGACTGCTCGCCGTTTTGGATGAGCACAAGCTTGGCGTTTCGGATGTGCAGTTCTCGGCATTCCCAGCGAAAGGATGGAACAAGAAAATTATTGCTGCATCCAGCGGAGACGGAACGATCTCATTATGGAGTTTATACAATTAAACTATTCACATTTTTTTTATAATCGCAACAGATTTAATATATATACAATTTTATTTATTTATTTATGTAAAACGACTTGATTTCTCTATCTCTATCTCCTGACCAAAATAAACATCTTGTGCGAATCTAATTTGCTGAGAGACGCTAATTCAGAGTTCATCAGACCCGATGGAGGAGAAGAGTTCAGAAGAAAACAAAACGAAACTTGTGTAAAGAAAGTTTGGTCCTCGTAGATGGAGAATGAGAGAGGTGATAACCAAATTTAGAACGGCTCGATTACCGTTTCCGCCGGATTTATAAATATAGCGCGCACCTTCTTGTATGCACACTTACTTAACTAGCTTTCGTTAACTCGCGTTATGCAATCTCAGAGAAAAAAAAATACACCGCCTATGATCTGTTTACTTCTCCAGTCTCGTTCTCTCATTTTGTTTTTTTCTTCTTCTTCTTCGCACTCTTGATTTGTTACGTAACGGTCGCACGTGGTCTTCTTCACTCGATCAATACAGTTTATCGAGTAGATAGAGCCCTTATATTATACAATCTTATCTGCTGCGAACGGATCTCGATCGGATCGATGAGAGAGCACGTTTTTATCTTTCGAATTCCAACAGTTTCTTCGTATCTTATCATAATTTGTCAGAGGCGCTTACAAAACTCAATCAATT